CAACTGTCAATCAACTGGTGTACAGATTCCTGAGCCTACTGGGCTCTGTCATATCTACATTTAAAACTGTGTATGGAGTCAGCCTCCACCACATCACTGCCTAATGCATTCCACCTGTTAACTACTCTGACACTGAAAAAGTTGTTTCTAACGTCCCTGTGGCTCATGTGGGTACTCAGTTTCCACCTGTGTCCCCTTGTTCGCGTCCTACGAGTGTTGAATAGTTTATCCTTGTCTACCCTGTCAATTCCTCTGAGGATTTTGTAGGTAGTGATCATGTCTTCTTCTTACTCTTCTGTCTTCCAGTGTCGTGAGGTGCATTTCCCGCAGCCTTTCCTCGTAACTCATGCCTCTTAGTTTTGGGACTAGCCTAGTGACATACCTTTGGACTTTTTCCAGCTTCATCTTGAGCTTGACTAGATACGGGGCTCCATGCTGGGGCTGCATACTCCAGGATTGGTCTGACATATGTGGTCTACAAGGTCTTGTATACAGTGGTATACGAGACCGTGGTTTAGGACTAGTGCACCGTGGCGTACGACAGGTGGACAAAAATTCGAGCAGCTGCCACGGTCAACTTGACAGCTGTTGTTAAGCTCCCACGGTCAACTTGACAGATGTTGCTAAGCTGCCTCAGTTAACATGTTAGCTGCTGGCCAACAGCTACAGCCCAACCCAACCTCCTGGAATGATAGTACTCTGTTGTTTGGCAGCTCCAAGTAGCAACAGCCTGTTGGACCAAGCTCTCACAAGTCAAGCCTGAGGCCTCGGGCCGGGCTCGGGGAGTAGAAAAACTCCCCGAAACCCCCTCCAGGTATACTCCAGGTATACTCCAGGTATACTCCAGGTAACTACGTGGTCGATCATAAATAAGACTTTTTAAGCAGTTCGGAAAAAATAAAGCCTAATAAACAAATTTAAATATCCGTGGGCCTCGTATAGCACATATATATATATATATATATATATATATATATATATATATATATATATATATATATATATATATATATATATATAACGACATATTTGTACTTTAGACTACATAGTAATTATATATGAACTTTCGATATAGGAGTATAGACTACACACACTTCTGTTGGGAAGGGAAGGGAACTATCAGAAGAAAGCGGCGGCAACCCATTACGACTATATAGCAATTGGAAGGGGTCAGGATAAGGATTTGGGATGGGACGGAGGGGGAGGGGAAGAGAAAGGAATGGTGCCCAACCACTTGTGGACGGTCGGGGATTGAACGCCGTCGACCTGCATGAAGCGAGACCGTCGCTCTACCGTCCAGCCCAAGTGGTCATACTTCTCTTGGATTAGTCTATATAAAACAAGACTCGTTCCCTTCGTCTCGAGGAAATATTGGGTATAACCTAACGACTTTGATCTCGTTAACTCCTCAGTAAAAGACAACTTGCATGGTTTACAAATACTCTTCAGTGTCTGAATGAATACGTTTAATCCAAACTATTGAAACGTTTGCCAGCTTATGAGAGCTGGCTTTTCATTGGCTGCTGGCAACTCATTAAAGTGGCACCCCCACAATCCGGTGAAACATCGGTCAAATACCTCAATTTTCCCCTCCCAGAGTGCCTGAAACTGGCACCCGAGGGAGCCGGAGAGCCTGATACCGGCCCCCGAGGGAGGCAGAGTGCCTGAAACTGGCACCCGAGGGAGCCGGAGAGCCTGATACCGGCCCCCGAGGGAGGCAGAGTGCCTGATACTGGCACCCGAGGGAGCCGGAGAAAGAGAGCAGACCCAAGATAGATCGCGGCAACAACCTTTTTCGTCGAGGTATCGTTAACCGGTCAACGACATCAAGAATCCATCAGGAGGAGGCTGGGTAGGGGGGAGATGGAGCCAGGGACGGAAGAGAGAGGTCAGGAGGTGAGAGTAGGGTGAGGGTGAGCCCGAGGAAGTGAGGGAGGGAGAGAAAAAGAAAATACAGAAGAGTGAGAGCGAGGGAGGGAGCGGGGGACAGTAGCAGTGGCGATGGAGAGTGCAGAAGGCAGTTGGATGAGATGAATAGTGGAACTGAGGAAGAGAGGGAGATAAGCCGTGGAAAAGGAGGGAAGAGGCAAGGGAGGGAAGGGCCGTGGCAAGGGAGGGAAGGGCCGTGGCAAGGGAGGGGGAAGGGAAGATGGGACGGTCCAAGGGTCGCCACTGGCAATTAACATCTGGGCCACTGTACTCACCTATTTCACCTATTTGTGCTTGCGGGGCTTAAGCTCTGGCTCTTTGGTCCCGCCTCTCAACTGTCAATAGAGGAAGATACTGTGTGGACCCCCTTCTACTGCAGAGGCGTTCCTCTATCCACGAGTGTACGTACACCTTGTGTGTACGAACACCTTGTGTGTACGAACACCTTATGTGTACGTGCGCCTTATTACACCAAGGTGTGTGCGTTAAACTGATATATAAAAAGATTGAGAGAAAACACGCGGGTCTTATCGCTTTCTCTTAATTATCACCCATTACACAGTCGTGCGAGTCGAACTTTATTGGTAATGTTGTTTTGCCTCAAGACTTTGATTCATCTACCCAAAAGATGTTTAAAACAATCAGACGAGGTTTTAAGACCGTCCTCCAAACAAAGACCCAAAAGTGATTCCATGCACCCGCCAAACCCTCTGTTTATGAATGAAAAAACGGTTAACACACGACTCACAACTGATGACGTTCGAACACTTCCGGAACAAGTGCTTCACTGACGAGTTTTGTTCGAACCACAACGCTGTAAATGCTTCACCCACGTACTACAAATACAAATAATTGCCAACAGACCCTAAACACCTAACCTAACCTATGCCTATATATGCACAATATGCTATTATAATATTCATTTATATCTGAGAAAATTTCCGTTTTGAATGAACAGCATGTAAAAGTTTATGAATGCGGCTGTGGGGTCGACCGCTGGATGGAATAGACTTGAGTCGAGAACGGGTTGGATATTTTAAGGACGGGCTTTGTTATTCAATGTTTAGATCGAGAGAGTTGTGTCAGGTGGAAAGAAGTAGTGGGTAGTTGACTGCTTCAGATTGTGTAGGGGGAGTGTATAGTGTGTGTGTGTGTGTGTGTGTGTGTGTGTGTGTGTGTGTGTGTGTGTGTGTGTGTGTGTGTGTGTGTGTGTGTGTGTGTAGGGGGATGTAGTGTGTATGGGGGGAAGAGTAGAGAGTGACTGGTGTAGGGTGTTAGAGTGTGAGGGTGATGGGGGTCGGGGGTTGGCTGAGCCCTGAAATGAAAGGAAGCAAAAAATGATAGGTGAGAGATAAATAATGAAGGAGATGGACAGGGAGTTGGCCAAACAATGAGGGAAGAACGATTGTTGGAGGAGAGGAAGGGAAGGACAAAGCCACCGTGGAGTACCAAAACACCCGAGAGAAGGGAGAGACTAGAGAAGGAGAGAAGGGAGAGGCCATGAGAGAAGGAAGAGGCCAGGGAGAGAGAGAGAGAGAGAGAGGAAAGAATAAGTAAAAGAATGAGTCAGGTAAATCACTGAAAACACCTGTGTGTGTACGGAACAAATTACCGAATAATATAATAATGTTTTAATCCTCCATGGTCTTAAGGAAAAGTTACATCTCTGCCTATATAAGAACGTCTCTTGAACGTTGGAGGCCAGACGCTTAGGGCTAGCCATACCCAAATTTGTAGGGAAAATGGTCTGCGGTACGGGACTGACATAGGCTGGTCAGGGTAAGCTAAAGTTAAATGATTTTAGAAATATTAGTAATTATTCACCACCTCATCTCCAATTGTGGTAAAGTGTGAAATATTAGTTGAGGTGACCAAAGAGATTTTCGACAACAGAAAAAATATATTTCGTAATCCATACAATACTTGCATTGCTCCTTATTATACTTTATGAAAGAGAAGAGGAGCTAAGCAGGAGGGGGTAAGGGAGGAAGGAGGTAAGGGCGATAAGGGGGGGGGGGGAAGGGGAGTAGGGGAGATGGGGTGGGATGAGCATTTGTCTCATCTCACATGAGCATCTGTTCTTCTTTATCTTACACACATAATTTCTCAGATAGTTTCCAAATTATAATAAAAATACCAATGATGTTTAATGGTGCCTGAGACGTGTCAAAGATCCTTCAGTTAATTTGTTTATATTGTTCATACTATGTATATTTCCTCAGAGAACTTCACACCACGAGTTTGAACACTGAAGCTCATTTGATACGTTGCCACTTTTCGTCACTGTCAACGACGCTCGTTACTGTCGTTGATAGTAATGACTGTCAACGACAGCCTCACTACACAACTCTGGTTCATCACAAGAACGGGCACGGTCCAGGCACCGAATTTATTGACACAGGAATTTTATTTTCAAAGCTTTTGTTGTTTGACCGTGAAATTGTGTTTAGAACTTTTGTACTTGAGAGCTGATGTCTCTAGAGTGTTGAACTAGGTTGTTGCCAGATGAGAACTCTTAGCAATAATGAGCCCATTTTTACTACCAAACAATATATATATATATATATATATATATATATATATACCTGCTTGATGGGGTTCTGGGAGTTCTTCTACTTCCCAAGCCCGGCCCGAGGCCAGGCTTGACTTGTGAGAGTTTGGTCCACCAGGCTGTTGATTGGAGTGGCCCGCAGGCCCACATATCCACCACAGCCCGGTTGGTCCGGTACCTAGGATACACAAAACTTTTCAATTATTGTGTTGCTCCTTCGTCAGGGTACCTGGACTGAGGTCACTGGACCTTTATCAGGAGCAGGCCAGTGATAACTTTTCTAGGTGTTGAACAGTTGTTTGAATTACGTTATTGACAACGATTTTGATAACAGTTATTGATCAACTGATTCAAATTTGACATTGCAGTTATGTTTATCATCAAACCGTGACCACGATAACAGGCTATGTAGCAAAATTGCTGAAAATGCTTAGCCAAATATCTCTATTTCATCAAAGCTTTTTATAATTCTTAATCTATATATGAAAAAAAATAAAAATAAAAATCATTTGCTACGAACCATCTCGTTTCAGCCGGAACTTGGTCTTCTGGCACTGTGCCTGGCACTGTGCCTGGCACTGTATCCGGCCCATATTCTCCACTGGTGCTCAGCCGCCTTACACAAGCTGCCACACTTGTAACCGGCTACTTTACGTCCGGACAGCTGCGAGCCCATTTGCACTCTCATTCCAAACGTGTGAAGTTGATATGAAGTGTGTGCAACTGCAATGGTTTTGCATGTAATCGATCTTGCCATCTCATTTGAATAGTTTGCTTTCTACGGAAACGTTCCACACTGGCAATAAGAAAATGGTGTAATCATAACATTGCTCTGAGAAGGAAAATAAGAGTTAATTGCAGGTTTTTACTGCGGCACTAACTTGGCAGAGCGTGAATGACAGTTTATTTATAGAGCACCAATGCGACTCTGTATATAGAGCACCAACGTGACTCTGTATTGTAGCCAGGAGAGATGATGTGATCTGGAGACAGACCAGTACTCTACCCGACCTGGGGCCAGATTCACGAAGCATTTACACAAGCACTTATGAACCTGTTCATCTTTTCTCAATCTTTTGCGGCTTTGTTTACAATTACTAAACAGTTAATGAGCTCCGAAGCACCAGGAGGCTGTTTATAACAATAACAACAGTTGATTGGGAAGCTTTCATGTTTGTAAACTCGGTACTATACCCGACCTGGCTCTCAGATAAAGACGATTAATGACCCTAGTCACAAATACCACACACAGCCAGAAGATATATTGAGATAACATTAACGGTGAATATGGCTCATTTTGAGCTCGTATACAACATCTGCAAACCCACTCGACACGAGCTAGAAGCAGCAGCAGTGCTGGCCATGGCTACGGATGTAATTTTTACCGGTTGATACGCGTCATTTGGATGAAACTCTGCAAGAAATACCTGACATGACATTTCTCAACACGAGGAGGGGGATAGGAGCCCACACACTCAAGGAGGTTTCCCAGGATCTCAAGTGAATCTAAAGTGTGTTCTAACATCAGGAGGAATGGTGGAGGTGGACGCAGACACCATGAGTGTGGATTGTTGCTACTGTCACAACACTAAACATAGAATGATCTCCTTCGTCGCCTGCACACCTGAAATGGAAAGTCAACTCTGTATATACTAAAGTCAGAAATATACCCACATTCCCCTCTCTGTAGGTGCTGACTATGGTAGTCCCGTTCCCTGCCTGGGGTCACAGGGGTCATGAAGGCCCTACACGAGCACCAGTGCCACCGTCACCCCTGGCCATCCATCTTCATTGTGTCAAGATGCTCACTGGGGCAGAAAAAAAATCTTCAAGATATCTTTCTTACTCTGCGCCATTAAGTATAAATCTCCACTCTCTATATCTTACTTGGCAGAGGTAAATCAGAGGGAAGGTTTGTGATTCAGAATCTCTCCTGGTGAGGGTTATCTCACCCAGGAACTTTAAAGACAGCTTCAAGATGATGCTTTTCTCCATAAGACGACCTCAAGATGATGCTTTCCTCCTTAAGACGACCTCAAGATGATGCTTTCCTCCTTAAGACGACCTCAAGATGATGCTTTCCTCCTTAAGACGACCTCAAGATGATGCTTTCCTCCTTAAGACGACCTCAAGATGATGCTTTCCTCCTTAAGACGACCTCAAGATGATGCTTTCCTCCTTAAGACAACCTCAAGATGATGCTTTCCTCCTTAAGACGACCTCAAGATGATGCTGTCCTCCTTAAGACGACCTCAAGGTGAAGCTTTCCTCCTTAAGACGACCTCAAGGTGATGCTTTCCTCCTTAAGACGACCTCAAGGTGATGCTTTCCTCCTTAAGACGACCTAAAGATAATGCTGTTCTCCTTAAGACGACCTCAAGGTGGTGCTCGACTCTTTTTAAAGTCATGTATCTCCTAGACTTTCAGCAGCTAACTCAACATAAGGAAATAAGATGCTGTAATAATCTCAGCATGAAATGCTTACATCCTCTCTGCAAGGTGATGCTGCGGGTCTTAACTGCAAGCTTCCCAGTCGTGAAATGGCAGATTGAGGGTAATGACGTGTGTTGTGCACCTTTTTACATTTGCAGAGCATGAGTTGCGGCTCTTGGGCCCCGGTTTCCCATCCATTAATCGACTGGCGTGTAAGTTCCAGCGCTTATTGAGCTCTGTTATATGCAAATTTAAGGTGTGTATGGAGTTTGTAAAGGGAGTGGAGCCAAGCTCCGCCTCGAACCATGATCGTATCAAGAAGTGGTGTGGAACTTGATATCTGCGAACTTGATATCTATGGCTCTATTTTGAACAACGGATTTAACCAAAATTCACTCAAGCGTTATATCGTCGAATATCCGAGTTGGCAGCGTTTGTTATTCTTCACGCAACTGGTGTGTGTGTGTGTGTGTGTGTGTGTGTGTGTGTGTGTGTGTGTGTGTGTGTGTGTGTGTACTCACCTAGTTGTACTCACCTAGTTGTGTTTGCGGGAGTTGAGCTCAGGCTCTTTGGTCCCGCCTCTCAACCGTCAATCAACAGGTGTACAGATTCCTGAGCCTATCGGGCTCTATCATATCTACACTTGAAACTGTGTATGGAGTCAGCTTCCACCTCATCACCCCCTAATGCATTCCATTTGTCAACCACTCTGACACTAATAAAGTTCTTTCTAATATCTCTGTGGCTCATTTGGGCACTCAGTTTCCACCTGTGTCCCCTTGTGCGTGTTCCCCTTGTGTTAAATAGACTGTCTTTATATACCCTATCAATTCCCTTCAGAATCTTGAATGTGGTGATCATGTCCCCCCTAACTCTTCTGTCTTCCAGCGAAGTGAGGTTTAATTCCCGTAGTCTCTCCTCGTAGTTCATACCTCTCAGCTCGGGTACTAGTCTGGTGGCAAACCTTTGAACCTTTTCCAGTTTAGTCTTATCCTTGACTAGATATGGACTCCATGCTGGGGCTGCATACTCCAGGATTGGCCTGACATATGTGGTATACAAAGTTCTGAATGATTCTTTACACAAGTTTCTGAATGCCGTTCGTATGTTAGCCAGCCTGGCATATGCCGCTGATGTTATCCGCTATGTTGTGTGTGTGTGTGTGTGTGTGTGTGTGTGTGTGTGTGTGTGTGTGTGTGTGTGTTCCTATATTAAACGTAACAGTGAATATAATAGTGATACTGAAAGAACAGGGGACAAGCAGGGAGTGAGAGTTTAATCAACACTGCCAAACTCACTTTTGGGGAGTATCGATAGACTGCGGTCCTCAAGTTGTGCCTGAGTGTTTTAAGTCACGAGGACCACAAATAATTCTGATCATTACTACACACAAACAGTTCAACCTGTCCTCTTAAAAAGAACGTCGCTTTTGGCCGTTTGCCCGTATGGCCGAATTTGGACGTAATTTGAAAATGAAAAAAAAATGAAAATAAATTTGGGATTTTTTTTTTTCAACAACAGTAAGTTAAGGGTCCTCTGATAGGTTAGGTGGGCAGGAAATTCTCATAAAGTTTCAAAACGTTAATTTAAAGTGTCCTCTCATAACCTCTGCGCGTAGGCCGGACGACTCAAACAGAAAACGGAACAGAACGTCACTTTTGTGAGTCGATTTCATTTCAAATTACGTCCAAATTTAGCCATGTCACGCATACGAGCCAAAAGTGACGTTATTTTTAAGAGGACGGGTTGCACAAGCAGGGTTAAATCCTGGCCCGTCGTCCGGGGGTGGGTCAGAAGAGAAATCTCTGGTGTAGGAAACATTGATTATGCCAATTATTTGCTCACTCAGACACCTCATTCACCATCATTAACTCACATTAACCCCCTCGTTTATCTTCCTCTCCGTTGCTCCTTTTCACTGCCTTTCTCATTCTTCTCTTCTGCCGTTCTGTTACTGCCTCTTCTATCTTCCTCCTCCTCATCTCTTTCTCTCTGTTTAAATAATTCTTCATTCTTTTACTTCTCGCGTATTCTGGTTTACGTTTTAGCACTAGAACTGTGTTTACTATTGTGTGTTTTTCTTATAGTTTTTATCTGAAAGTTGTTTGCAGCACCGAGCTTCAGCTGTTGGGCATCGCCTTCCCAACTGTAGATAATCAAATAGTGACTCGTGACAGTTTTTTTCTTTCTCTCCAAATCCGCTTTGAAAACAATGAATGGAGGAATTCTCTACCATTTGTCCCTTCTATTTCGTCCATTTGCTTTACACTGAGAATGTATTTCTTCACATCCCCGGCCTATGGCGTGTCTAATTACCTAATTACCAACACGTGTCTTCTAGTACAGCTTCGTCTTAACCTAAACCTTCTTGTCTGTGTCCATGTATCTCCCTCAGTAACCTGGTACAGGTGTGTGTATGTGTCGAGTTCTTTAGTATCTCTCTGAATTCTTGGTTGTCTTGTATCTAATTTTTAAAGTCTCTCAATATTCGTTTTATAGTTTTTTCGATATTGAGTTTTTTAGGATGGTGGGATGGTTTCCATGCAGGTACTGCATACTCTAGCACTGGTGGAAGATGTGCTGCATATTGAATGTAACATTAGTGTTTGGTTACTAAATGTTGTTCTGATGTCCGAGAGCTTAACACATGTGCAATGACCAAACCACACGAGAGTATAGCACTTGGAAGGGGGATAAGGATTTGGAGTGGGATGGAACGGGGGGAGAGGAATGGTGCCAAACCACTTCGATGCAGGTCAGGAATTGAACGCCGACTTGCATAAACCGAGACCGTCGCTCTACCGTCCAGCCCAAGTTGATGGAGGAGTATTAAAGTAGATAGGGGAAGATAGAGGGCGCGAGATAGCCTGTGGATGGGACAGAGAGTCCCATAAAAGACTCAGTGTATCTTGTAATCATTGTGGTGGTTCATTTAGGATTTAGGATTATTTTTAAGACAATTAGGATTTAGTAGTTAACCTCTTCCAGGTTTTTTTTCCATGTGTTGTAATAAATACCATATTGTTAGCTTTTTCTTGATTCTGTAAGTTAATTAAGTCATTATTAAAACGTAGAGTAGGGCTGAAATTTATTGCCTAGGGGATATTATTATGTGATAATATCACATGATACAGATTATTAATACATATTTATATATATA